ATATATATATATACTCTACGTTCGAACCGCAATCATCCTACATGGAACCTCCAAAGGCAGCGAGCAAAGCTAACCATCTAGTCTTTTCACGTTCAATGTCATAAAAGTGAAGGCTATGATACACATAATATTAACATTGGTGTTGAATGTTTTAAAAAAGACTTGAATCGTATTCGGACAAGTTACACGGACTCGCCCGAGTAAATCGGGTTGGGCAAGGGCCGAGTACCTTGGGCGATTTTTCGAACACTAAACCAAACTATCCTCGAAACACAAAAATTAAAATTTTCATACCTCGATCATTAGGCTTAGAAACCTGAGGGTAGGTTGGTGAGGTGGAAGGGCTTGACGATATTCCTCTTGTGATCTTAGGAATATTGTCTTCAGGCACAAAGATCTGATAATATTCAAATGAAGATCTTTGGAGAAATATCTAGAGCCATACAATTCATTGTTTGATAGGGTTGCTGCGGTAATGAAATAAGTAAAGCCTCATCTTGTAACTCATTGAAATCATAAGTCCAGCATTGGAAAACGTTTACATCGATCATCTTGACTTGAACATTATGGTTGTGAAAAAAAAAAGATTTTAAGCTCTAAAAATATTGTATATTGTAATAAATTTTCTAAACCATCCATTTTGTCCTAAAAATAAGTCTTAAGAGATCCATAAGATATGTACCATTTTTTTAGTTTCAAATTTTATTGTGAGTGCTAAAAATGATTTTAGGGTCATCATGGCGATTTTCATTGTCGGAATTCCGGACTAGGTTTTTAGGCGAGGCTTTATTTTGTTTTCATAAAGCCAAGGCCTTCTAGAAACTTTATCCATTTCAAAGTACACATCCAAAATTAGAACAGAAAACTGTTCTTGATCAATGACATCGATTTAATGCCTTATAAAAGTTTAAAATTGAGGGTGTTAAACCATGTCAAAAGAACTTATTGTTTTAATTTTGAAATGTATTTTCTTTTCAAGTTCCTATTTATCATGGTTGAGATTTTCATCCCTCAAATTTTGAATCCAAAATCCATCTCTAAATAGATTTTGCAAAGATGATTCATTTAAGTAGGTGAGTCGTCCGACTAGGAGAAATCTTGTCCATACTAAAATGCCCTTATTGTTGTGCTTGAGCAGTTGGCTTGTCTGCTTGGCACGTTATTGATGATGGTGCAACTTAAAGAATGAAACCCACCACTTATCTTGAGAATGCTTCAAATAGGCCCCATTGTAGCTTTAAAAATCCCTTTTCCTCTTATAATTAAGAGCATGGGTATCATTCCACTTGATTATGACATTTGATGAGTGCCAATTATCATGATTGTGCAAAAGGCATGAATATTGGGACACCCAAACGGGGTCTGAGTTTCATAAAGTGGTTTGCTTATGAGTGGATGCAGGTTTGCATATGATCTAAAAAGTGTATGGTGTGTTACAAATTTGAGAGGCTGATCTGGAAATAGGCGGATTTGGTTGCCTAGGCAACCCTTGGGCTCCTACATAAATGTAATGATAGTGTAGCTATCCAAATTTTGCATCCTCCAGCTTCGTTTTAGTCCAACACCCAAACAACCCGCTCCCCTCACCACCAACCCCAACCCCCCCCCACCCCACCCCAAAAAAAAAAAAAAATATCATGTTTGGGTTGTCTTTGCTTTGATGAGGGTATTATGGCTTTCTATTGGACCAAGTTAAATTAATTTTTATTTTAGGTTTTTGTTTTGTTTTAGAGTGAAAATTAAGGTTATTTTAACTTTTAATTATTTTAATTATATTAGGGTTTTTATATCTTTTAGGTGCTGTAGAGATTTCAATGGTGGTTTGGTTATTTTATTATTTTATTCAGTTAGGGGTCTTTTAAGTCATTTTTTTAAGCAATATATGTACAAAAGGAAAGAGAGTGATGTACAGCCCCTCATAATGTTTATCTTAGAGAATTTTGTGAAGAAAAAAAAAACTTAAAAAGGATTTTTTAAAATCTTGATTGAAGGCCATAGAGAAGGCTCAGTACACCTTCTTAGGCCCTTCCCTTCTATGGTGTCTTTTATTTTTTTTTCTTTTCTTTCCCCTTCCTACTTTTCTTTCCTTTATTTCACCTACTTATTTCTTTTATTTTATTTCTTTTCCCTTCTTACTTCTTTCATTTCTTTGCTTTCCCTCTTTATTTGTTTTCTTTTCTCTTTCATATTTTGTCGCCTTTACAATTAACCATTAGTTTTCCCTAGAATTAATCCCTTGAAGCCTGAACCCTAATTTCAGTTATAAAATCAAGACCTTAATTTTCTTTAACCCCCATTCATTTCTAAATCTTAGAACTTGTTGTGCAGACCTACTTCTTCTTTCCGGCTTATGGATTGGTATTAAATTTTTTCAAAATCAACTTTTATTTTGTTAATTTTAGTTAAGGACAGATTTCATTCCATTAAATATTTGAAATCTCATCTCCCAAGCATCAAAATAAATGTTTAAAATTATGCATTGATTTTTGCAAGTTTGTGTACTCAATTTGTGGATAAAATACTAGTTGAATCTACAGAAAAAAAAAAAACGTGTCCATCAAATGATTAGTGAGTGGCTAATCTTAAGCTATAACAGTTGCTATCAAATCAGGTTGTCCTAATGCTAAAGGCCAAGTTGTTTAGGGTCCATCCTAGAACTTGAGAACGTCCATTAGGTCTTTAGGGTGTTGTCCCTTCTTTGTTATGTCTCTTAGTTTATGTCCTACTTTGTGAATAGCCGTCCTTGATGTTTTAAGTGTTGTCCTAGAGTTCCTAAATTAGGAACTTTGTTCTATCTAGAGAATAGTAAGTGTCCTTAGGTTCACATTCCATGTTTAATCAAGGTAAGTTAACCGAGGTTAGTTGAGGCCCAAGGTCGTGGGCATGTTCAAGGCAACAAACCATCCAACGATGATCAACATAATGACTCCCGACAACGTATTAGGGAGCACGACAGTCGAGGAGAGAGAGACTAAGTACCATAAATATTGGTTATTTCGTTGATGATTGTAACACAAATCTCACAATGAACAGAAAGAAATAAAAAAAAAAACAGAAGTATAGAAAGTAATCAGTCCAATCAAAAGTATCAGGCTACAGTGACGCAAAACCTGAGAAAACATTATTCCATGAACTAGAAGCAATGAGAAAAAACCATCCCATAATTGAGCAAAATAAAATGGGCCTCATGTGAAATAGTATCAAGTTCACACCCAACATCTCATTACATGTAGCATCTCACACCAACACAAACCAAAAGGGCTCTCTACATATGAATTGGCTTATCATATGTAGCCATGGCTGCCTCTTTCACGGCCTCACTTAGTGTTGGGTGAGCATGGCAAGTGCGTGCAATGTCCTCACTCGATGCTCCATACTGCAGTGCCATAACTGCCTCGTGTATAAGCTCCCCAGCATTAGGCCCCATTATATGAACCCCGAGTATCTTATCAGTCTCCTTCTCTGCCAAAATCTTCACCAAACCATCTGCATCATCAATGGCCTTAGCACGACTATTTGCCATATAAGGGAACTTCCCTACCCTATAATCCACACCTAAAGCCTTAACTTGCTCCTCTGTCTTTCCCACCGAAGCCACTTCAGGATGAGTATAGACCACACCAGGCACTGTATCGTAGTCCACATGCCCCTCTTTCCCTGCTATGAACTCAACACAAGCTACCCCATCTTCTTCAGCCTTGTGCGCCAACATGGGACCAGGCACTACATCTCCTATGGCATACACTCCCTTAACATTGGTCTCAAACTTCTCATTGACCTCAATTCTCCCAATTTTATCCATTTTAACCCCAAGGTCCTCAAGCCCGAGTCCTGTGGTGTAAGGGACCCGCCCTGCTGCCACAAGCACCACATCTGCCTCTAGCGTGGTTTGCTCCCCACCAGCGGCGGGCTCCACTGTCAGTCGCACCCCTGAGCCCGAAGCATCGACTCCCATGACCTTGGTTTTGAGCATAAATTTCATTTTTTGTTTCTCAAGAGTGTGTTGGAATTGCTTTCGAACCTCTCCATCCATAGTTGGCACAATATCAGGTGCAAACTCAACTACAGTTACCTCAGCCCCTAGTCGACCCCACACAGAACCCATCTCAAGTCCTATGTATCCAGCCCCTATAACTATGAGCTTCTTGGGTACCTCAGATAGGCAAAGTGCCCCAGTTGAGGAGACGATCTTTTTCTCATCAATTGGGATGCTAGGAAGTGACTTTACATCAGATCCAGTGGCGATTATAATGTGTTTTCCATGGACTAAGGTATTACCACCTTCGAGTGTGTCAACTGAGACTTGGGAAGGGGAGAGGAGCTTGCCAGTGCCCTTGACATAATTGACCTTGTTCTTCTTAAAGAGTCCCTCGATTCCACGTGTAAGGTTGGAGACAGCCCTGTCCTTCTGGCCAAGCATGGCAGGAAGGTCGACCTCAAGGTTTGAGAACTTGACGCCATGACTTGGGAATGCGTGCTTGGCCTCATGGTACATGTGGGAGGAGTGGAGGAGGGCCTGCAAATGCATGGGAAAGTTATTTGACAAGGTTAGGTGAAGATGATAGAAGCAATTACCAAATTCTTATGTCAAAAACTGGTGATAATTTGACATGATGATTCAGGTTTGTGATCATTGGGCAGCAAGTTAAATTTGAAAGGTGGAAAGCGTTCCATCACGTTGAGGGTAGATATTCATTACAATATCATTTGAACTGCAACTTTCTTTGGCATCAAAGAATCTCTATTATAGACAAACAATCAACAACATAATAATACTTCATATTCCATAAACTAATGTCAGAGGTGATACTAAAGTTGATTCAGAGTTACCATATCAGATTGTGCTTCAATGGTCCAGAAAGGCTACTAGTCTAAAGCACCCAATAGACCACAAACTTTTATTTCTTAAAAGTCACAGCTTTAATCATCAGAACTACTCACTCACAATTACCCAAAAAAAAAAACTACTCACTCACTTGATAGTATATATCAACTTGGCAAAACCTGGCAGTAGCAACTATTCCTTGGGAACAAACTTACAGTACATTTGTCCTTTCTGAAAAGCTTATATCATGTAAGTTTTTATATACAATTTGAGATCAAACAAAATACCCATCAAATGCAAATTAACCCATAAGCATTCCCAAATCAATAGTGCAAAGATGTTTAAAAAATGGTCACCAAACAACAAAACCCAAACCCTTATAAAATATACATAAACAGTACACACTAAACTGAACTTGCTTTAGTCGTAAGTTATCTGCATCCATCAGGAATGACTACCATAAACTCGGATTTTTAACTGTAAGAACATGCAGAATTTCATTCTTGGGGCTTGTCTTACAAATGGTAAGGTAGCTGATAAGCCTCTGGAGATTGATGGTACTAGTCAGCATGCAATAGAGATTTAATTCCATATCCAACTACTTACGGATCCTTTTTTGGAGGATTTTTGAATTGGACTCATTGTTCAAAAAAGTGGACCACCCAGTGCCTAGGCGGTCCAGAAGGCTTGGGCGCATCACCCAGGCCTAGGCGGCCAAACTGGGCAGCAATCCCCGGGCGGCCGCCCAGGACCTGCGCCTCACCTAGGGGTTTCAGGTTTTTTTTTAAACATAAAGGTTTTTAAGGATGGGTTTCTGGTTCATTTGAAACCTAAACCCACAAGAACCCATTTTAAAGAGAAATAAACCTCAAAAAACTAAATTTTGTGATTTTCATTGGATCGAAGTGTTTCTCAAAGTTACGAAAAACGGATCCAAACATCACCCAGGTAGATTAAATTTAGTTTTAGAGTTTTATAATCCTATTAGAGAGGCTGTTTTTTATTATTTTAGCACCTAAAAATATCTCAGAGGTGCGAGTGTGGAGTTCGAGCAATCAAAGTAAGTGCAAAACTTTATTTTGTACATTGCTTGCTTTATTTTGAGATGTCTTCTTAAGGATTTAGTCGAAGTGGAGATCAGGGTTGGAAATATGGATATAACCCGAATCCAAATGACAAAACTTGCATCAGATGCAATTATTGTGAAAAAGATAAAAAAGGGGGCATAAACCGGTTTAAGAAACATCTTGCCGGTATCAAGGGGGATGTTGCCCCTTGTAAAAATGTTCTTGAAGCTATCAGAGAGGAGATTAAGCAATATAGGAGTTCTATAAAACAAAAGCAGGAACAAAATCCTCGTCATTTGAATAGATCAATTTCTACTTCTTCTAGAAGAAGTGATCCGGGTTGGAAGTATGGTTATAACACAAAACCAAACAATAAAAATTTTACAAGGTGTAACTTTTGTGAAAAAGATACCACTGGGGATATCAACCGATTCAAGAAACACCTTGTTGGTATTAAAAGGAATGTTGCTTCTTGTAAAAAAGTTCTTAAAGCTAT